TATCTGACACCCTACACCTGATGGAGAGTAAACCTCATGGAGACATTGACCAATATGCACCTATTTTATGAACATTATATACCAAGAACCGAACATAGCTCTTGTCCCAGCACAGTGCATGATAAATGTTTAGAGAATAAATGAATGGCTGGCTTGAACAAAACTACCATCTTTTCTATTTCTGCTGTCGGAATTGAAAGAGTAGAGGTGGCCTCTATACCTCATCTCACAACAGAATACCAAATTATTAAAAGCACCTGAAACCAATTTGAATTACAGTCAAAATGGTGGATTGACTCTCTTCTCCTTCTAGCCAAGGAGCTGCTAAAAAGGGAGGTCACTGGTCTAAAAAGTTATAAAGAACTTTGAGGAAAAGAAGGTGCATTTATCAAAACCAGGAAGATTCTAATGCAAAGTCTCTTGAGAGGGCCAATCACCTACATATATAGTCATACAGTCATTCACATAAATGCCAAAATGTCAGAATTTAAAGTTGTCATTTGGAAGGGAAGTAGCTGTATCTCCACAGAAACCTGAACCCTACAAACCTTGCTCACATAGTACAGTATTTTCCAGTGTTATCCTGAGAAGCCCAGCTGTTCCCATAACTAAAGGCAATTTCCAGTCATTCCTTTGGTTTTCCACTAATTATACATTATTATTGTAATGGTATAGCATGTCAAGCCATGGTCTTTATGAAAACCAGGGTACTTCTGGGGGAAAATCGATAAAAGGGAAACTCATATCTCTGTCTCTGTCTCTACTGAACCAGGCATGGGTGATCCTTCAAGGTAGAAACTGGGTGTTGCTCATCTTTGCTTACCTGGAGCCTAGAATGGTGCTGAGCACAGAGTAGATTGTCAATTGGTGTCTACTGAATGTCTACATAAATGATGGATAGATGGGAGTGTGTCTAAGCAATTTGTGGAGTTTTCTTTCACTGAAATAAAGTTGACCCTTGGACTATTCATTTAGGAAGATTATGTACTTATAAACTGACCCACCTGTGCTCAGACCCTATAGGGACATTCTCTACATCATCCCCCCGCCACCAAAACCTTATCTATTTATTCCCAATTTCTACTGTTCTATTTACACTCAGCATGTCTTCTGACCTTTGGCAATATCTCCCAGCTGGAGTCTTCTCTTTCCTTGGACAAGGCATTGGTACTTAATTTTTTCTTTCTTAAGATCTGTTACTCAGCTTATCTCATTCTCATCTTTGGCTGACCTAGATAAGGGTCCTCCCTCAAGCTTCAGCCACTTCAGGTGTAACTGGCTTTCTGTCAGCCCAAGACTTCTGAAACAGGTTTTAAAGAGAGATGCCCTAGAAATTGGATAATTGGTGAGCTGCCAACAGATGACAGGTAACAGGCATGATGATATCATACATCTAGCTATCAAACTACTTCCAGATGTGGATAACTGAGGAGAAAAGATTACTGTACATGATGCTATTACCTATGTCTTTTCTAGAAAGACAGTTAAAAAAAAAAAACCCAAAGCAAGATTTAAACATGACATCAAGACACAGATTGGTGCTTGCTTTTTCTGCTCTCTGCTAATTCCACACTGCTTCATTCAGCTACTTTATGTTTTCAAGTCTAAATTGAAAATATCTTCCCTTCCTCCCAAGGATCAAAGATGAATATAATTGTAGTTAAGATCTTGGATTGTCAACTCTGGAAGGCCAGTGTGGAAATTCTGGGTCTACTAGTAAGTAGCACGGGCAAGCTATCTAACCTCTTCAAGCCATAGTGCTCTTCTTTCCAAAATATGAAAAATAACAGCACAGAGGGAAATTGCTCACTGGAATTCCAGGACCTCAACTGTCCTGGATGAATGATATTTCCAACATTTAGATATCTTTAAAAGAACTTTTCCTGCTACCATTTGATCCAGGTCTTGCATCTTCTGGATATATTTTTTCCTTCTTTCCTTCCTTCCTACCTTTCTTTTTTCTTTCCCCTCCCCACTGCCCTTTGTTTATCTATATGTTCTTACCTACTACATGGATTAAGGGATGCATGTCTAATGTCAATTTCCACAATCAAGTTAAAAGATAATAAAAAATGTGGCCGGGCGCAGTGGTTCACGCCTGTAATCCCAGCAGTTTGGGAGGCCGAGGCGGGCGGATCACGAGGTCAGAAGATTGAGACCATCCTAGCTAACATGGCGAAACCCTGTCTCTATTAAAAATACAAAAAAATTAGCCAGGCGTGGTGGCAGGCGTCTGTGGTCCCAGCTACTCGGGAGGCTGAGGCAGGAGAGTGGCATGAACCCAGGAGGTGGAGCTTGCAGTGAGCCGAGATCGCACCACTGCATTCCAGTCTGGGTGAGAGCGAGACTCCGTCTCAAAAAAAAAAAAAAAAAAAAAAAAAAATATATATATATATATACGTGATATCCAGCAAAATAAGCATCCCACCTTCTATTTTACAAGCTATGGGTCACAAGGTCACTGCAATCACTCATAATGGTTCATATCCCACTATGGATGTTGTAGGGGCTGAGCCTCTGGCATGCCCACTGGTCATTTACAACCCAGCCCTATACAGTACCACAATACCAAGTTGTTCCTTAAGTATCGTAATTTTTAACATATAATCTTTTAAAATCTTCTTGAACAATTAAAATGCTTACTTCCAGACCCCTGGGTAAATGACTTATTTATTCTACCTCCCTCATGACCTTGAAGTGAGGATTAAGAGAGATAAAGTGTGTAAACCAACTGGTGTATGACCTGGCATAGGCAGGGTAAGCAATAATTTAGAATGTGCTGAAATGGGACTGTTTGAATTGGTAGCTGTTGCTTCTGAAGGCTTTTTCTAATAGATCCAGAGAAAAATAAATCTAAAACCTTCTCACTATGACTGGAATGAGGTAAATTAGGGCTAGCATATAGGTCTGAACATGCACACTCACTCTGACAAATAGTAGCCACCTGGAGTACAAATAAAGCTGCAGGAAAGAGTTCTGTGTTCAGTCAGCACTGGTCACTGTGGACCTAGGTTGAAGGAATGACAACATGGGTGCTGTGTGTTTGCTGTCTTTGCTGTTGTGATAAGCACATAGGACTGCCAGTTAGAAAACCTGGATTTTAGTCCTGCCCCACCTAGACACACCACCTCCAGCAAATCACCCAAGTCGAGACTGATTTCCTCATCTGCTTCCGTCCCCATCTTGCATGTTGTATCCTAGTAATCATAAACTGCTTGTGGTTCTCTCTATGTATCATTCTGTTGTCTAGTCCCTTGGCTTTCCTTTGCCTGGAGTACCCTTCTTATCCTTCTAACTCCCATAAGTCTTACCCTTCAGTTCCTAGCTCAAGCAGTGCCTTTCCCAGGAAGCCTTTCTCAACCCCCAGGTGGTGCTATATACCCCAACTCTAAATGCCCACCCACCTGAGCATTATTCCTCTATTCTATGGGTTAGCAAATTTTTTCTATAAAGGTTCAATAGTCAATATTTTAGGCTCTGTAGGCCAGATAGCCTCGGTCACAACTATTATATTAAACTCTGCCATTGTAGCACGAAAGTATCCGTGGACAACATATAAATAAATGAGTATAGCTGTGTCCCAGTAAAACTTTACCGTTGGGCCAGACATGGTGGCTCATGCCTGTAATCCCAGCATCTTGGGAGGCTGAGGCAGGAGGATTGCTTGAGGCCAAAATTTAAGACTAGCCTGAGCAACATATTGAGATCCATGTCCACCAAAAAAAAAAAAAAAAAAAGTTCTAATTAGCAGGGCCTGGTGGTGCATATCTGTAGTCCCAGCTACTTGGGAGGCTGAGGCAGGAGGATCACTTGAACCCAGTAGTTCAGGCTGCAGTGAGCTATGGTTATACAGGTCACAAGGTATGACTGTGCGTCACAAGGTATGACGCACTTCAGTCTGGGGGACAGAGTTAGACCCTGTCTCGAAACAACAACAAAATAAAAACAAAAAAACCTTTATTTTCAAAAACAGATGTTGGGCTTGATCTACCCTATCAGGTAACATGTCATACCGGAATTGATCCATGTGCATATCTTTCTCTTTCACTAGACCGTGCGCTAAAGGCAGAGATAGGCCTTACTTCTTTGTACCTCTAACATTCAGCACACAGTGGCTATTCAAAAACTGAAGTAACAACGCTGGAAAACTGGAATAATAATCTCTTTCTGGCTATTCCACAGGGCTATGGGTTTTAAGCATGATAAAGCATGTGAAAGCTCAGGACAGTGATAAGGCACCATTCAAACGTATGGTGCTCTCCCTACGGGCACATCATTGACACTCTTGCTCCAGCCTCAGGAGGTGGAGAGTCACATATGAACCTGTTATTTCCTGCCACAAGCAGACACAAAATAAAACACCAGCTAAAAACCTCACTCCTGTCAGACTCAGCTTCTAAGAAGAAATGAATCATTAGGTTATATGCTGAGTTGAAACATATTAAACTGAAGTCCTGAAGTTCCTGAAAGGCATAAAAAGCCTTGCATTGTCTGCCTCCCTTTCTTTAAGCTTCTCTTTAACAAATTCCTTCACACTTTTCCGGAAACTGTCAATATTTACATCTGTTGAGTTTGCTGTCAAGCTTAACAGAAGGCAGGAATAGATGTCTGAGTCCCCAAGGTGTGGACACAGAACTCAGAGAAGTCCCACTCAGCTGGGGTTTCTGCTCACTATGCAATGCTGCTCTTACCTGAAAACATGACCCCTTTACACCAGCCCGCTGTGACCAACACAACGTGAAAATTCTGTACAGATGTGAACAAATGGAGTGAACAAGGAAGGTGAGGATGAAAGATGAGATGTCCTGATCTTGCTGGTGCCCTAGGCCCATCCCCAAGGATGACATTCATTCACTCACTCACTCACTCATTCATTCATTCATTCATTCATTCATTCAACAATTATCTTGAGAGCCAACTCCATGCCAAATTGTGCTGGGCATTCATTGCCTTTGCAGAGAGAACAAGACACCACTGGGATTTCTCCAGCGCACTATTACCTTGCAGGGAAGGGCTCCAGGGCCTTTCGGGACCGAAGGGGCGGAGGCAAGAGGGAAGCTAATACCTCTAGTATTGTCTGCCAGTCAGAAGGCCACACCGGGATTGGAAGGGGAAGGGTTCCAGCACCTTCCTCCACCCTTGTCCCAAGGAAACCAAACCTTGCAGCTATTGTTTTCGTCGAAGCCCGAAGTCATGGGCTCGGCTGCGGCCCCTCAAAGGCCCCCACCAGCGCCACTCTCAGCTCTTCGCCCAGGATCCCCCTGAGGCTGCGCCCTCCGCGTGCGCCCAGCTGCCTGCCCCTGCGCCACCCTGGGGCACCTTAGGGGCTGGAGGCTGTCTCGGCGGGCTTGGGGAGGTTGTGGCCGGGACCGCCAGGTTGCGCCCCCTGTAATCGCCCCGCAATGCCTCGCCAACTCCGGAAGATTTCAAGGAGTTGTGCCCGATAGTTTGCCACGAATCTCCAAACGCTGAACTACCACTTTCCTCCATGCCCTGCATTTCCCAGAGGGAGGGCTGAGGTCCAGGGACAGCACTGCTGCCCAAAATAACACTGCTGGTTAGTGGCACAATAAGGCCCAAACCCAAGGTCCTCTATCACTAGCACTCATGACAACAAAAGCAATGTCTATTTAGGAAGCGCTTGCCATATGCTAGGCCCTGTGACCATTTTAGGTACGTTATTTCATTCATTCTTCTCAGCCACAACCAGAGATGACATTTGTATCTCTATATAAATTAAAGCACCGAGAAATTAAATAGTGCCTGGAGAGCAACAAGCAGTGAGCAGGAGGGCGAGGTTTCCGTCCACTTTACCCCGTGATAGATTCCCGCTGATGTCAGGGAACTCATTCTCTGTTGTGTGCCTACCTGGCTGTTACAAACTTTGGTATACTTTAAGATGCCTAAAAGGAATGGGCTGCATCGTTTTTCTTATTTGCGTACATCCAGGGGACAGAATACCATTGCTGGCCTACACTGGGCCCAATTAATGGTTTTTTTAGTCTTGCTATTCACATAAAACACGAATAAAAACATCTTGTAGTATATATGTACATGTATATTTTTGTATTGCATATACTTTTTGTTATATAGATTGACTGATGGATAATGTTGCACATATGCCTATAAAGAAAAACTGTTTGCTGCAGCATCCCCATGTATAACACTGAACCTGGCACATTCTAAGTGTATAATAAATGTTTATTGAACAAATTCATGATTAAAAAAACAATAAAATGTTAGCAGTGGTGTTAGGGAAATTGTCATTTTAAGAATACTTTTCGATAAGGAACTTTTTAAAAATTGTGGTAAGAGCACTTAACATGAGCTCTATCCTCTTAACAATTTTTTGGGTTTTTTGAGACAGGGTATCACTCTGTCACCCAGGCTGGAGCGCATTGTGCCATTATGGCTTCCTGTAGCCTCGACCTCTTGGGCCCTAGCAGTCCTCCCATCTCAGCTTCCCGAGTAGCTGAGACTACAGGTGCGTACCACTATGCCCAGATAATTTTTGTATTTGTCATAGAGACAGAGTCCCTCTATGTTGCCCAGGCTGGTCTCAAGCTCCTGGGCTGAAGGGATCCACCTGCCTTAACCTCCCAAAATGCTGAGATTTCCGGTATGAGCCACCATGCCAGCCTTAACAAATTTTTAAGTGCACAGTGCAGTATTTTTAACAGTAAGTACAATGTTGTAGAGCAGTTCTCTAGAACTTATTCAGCTGCATAACTGAAACTTTATACCCAGTTGAATAGCAACTCTATTTTTTCCTCCCCCTAGTGCCTGGCAACCACCATCTACTCTCTGCTCCTACGAGTCTGACTACTTCAGATTCCTCATGTCAGTGGGAATCACGCAGTATTTGTCCTGTGACTGGCTTAATGTCACTTAGCATAATGTCCTCAAGATTCATTCATGTTGTTGCATATGGCAGGATTTCCTTCCCTTTAAGGCTGAAAAATATTCCATTGTATGTATATGACACATTTTCTTTATCTACTCCTTTATCAACAGACATTTAGGTTGTTTCCACATGTCGGCTATTGTGAATAATGCTGCAATGAACATGAGAGTGCAAGATCTTGATTTCAATTCTTTTTACTAAATACCCAGAAGTGGGAAATACTGGATCACATGAGAATTCTATTTTTAACTTTTTGAGGAAACGCCATACTGTTTTCCATAGCAGCTGCACCATTTTGCATTCTTACCAACAGTATACAAGGAAACACGTATTTTTAATAATCAAAATATGTACCTATCTATAATTTTGTTGGTCTTTTGGAAAATAATAAGTCAAAAGTAACAGGAGTTCATGAAGATGTTCACAGTCTTGAGCCAGTTTACTCCTACAGATTGATCCTAGGGAGGAACAGGAGGAAGTAAGAAATGCCCTTGGGCTGTCCCAGAAACACACTGCTTCCTTGCAGCCACTTCCTGGGACTCACTGGTCCAGTGTGAGGGAAGCAACTGGATAAATGATGCTATTTCAACACTATGGCATATTGCGTAGCTACTCAATAATAATAACTACAGAAACTTTGCAGTCCATAGAATCTGTAGAAACATGGAAAATGTTTATTAGGTAAATGAAAAATATCAGATGTGAAAGCAGTGTGAGGGTGGTGGGGTTTAGATAACTCACTGTTATTTTCATTTTCAACTATTTTAATGGTTTCTATCCTTGTTCATCAGGATAGATGAACACTCAAGCAGCAGCAATATCAGCCAGGTTTACCCTGGAGCTTGTTAGAAATGCAGAATTTTTAGCCCCACTCCAGATCTACCAAACCAAAATTTGCATTTTATCAAGATTCCCAAGTGATTTGTATGTGCCTTATGGCTTATATTATCTTTTTTTTTTAAAATATATTTGTTGAATGAGCTTCTTAATTTGGTTTTCAAGCAATCTACAGATGAAGAGATAAAATTTGAGTTAAATGACTTAACCAGAGTTCTGTACCATTAAATGTCAGCTGTCAAGCCCAAGTCCCCTGATTCTGAGGCTACAGCTAAATTCAGACTAGCCACAGCCTGCCTGGCCTTGTTTCTGTGCCAGGCCTTCCTCCATATGGCCTGAGGTGGTCCACCCACTGTCACCTTCCTTAGGCTAAACAGCATGGACAGTGACTACCGTCAACAGGGGCCCGTTTCAGGAAAAAGAGGACAGGCTGAGGTTTCTGAAAACATTCCTGTCTCTCCCATGAGTTCCTGATAGCACTCCCTTGAACCCAATCCAAGGGGCTGAGGATTCGTGTTTGTGAGCCACCTTGGAGCCGTGGAGATGAAAGTAAGCAGGGCAGAGGGCCACTGCACATCAGTTGAAGCCACCCTGGCTCTCATCTAGTTCAACCCCATCCATTTTCAGAAGAAACACACCCAGAGAGGGAAGTGACTGGCCTTAAGCAGCAAAGCTAAATTCAAGGCTAAGAGGAGAGGCTGGCATAGAGGGCAACCCAGATATGGGAATTCAGGGTAATGTGGCTGGAAGCACCTCAAAACACACCTGCCAGGTGGGGAAGGAACAGGGAGGTCCAGAGTATTCCCTGAAGAACAGGTGTGTAGTATCCTCCCATAATGCTGTGATCCTTTGTCATTCATGTACCCCTTTCTGAGCAAAAGTTTATCCTAGTTCTCCGCACTGAGAAAGGCTTGCTCCCCTGTCCTGTGTGTTGTACATCCTCAAGTGCCTTTCCCCTCGTCAACCACTGACAAAACAGAATGAGAGACATATGAAAGGTGGATTTAAATAAATAAAATTCACTCTTTAGTTAAGGTCTGTGGAAAAGGCATGATTTTATTGCACACTCACAATATGACAGGTAGTGTTCTACTCATCAACACTCGTTTCAAAACAGGATTTGGAGACAGGATGCTTCAAAAGAGAACTGCACATTCAACTAAACATATCCAAAACAATTCAACTCTTTTGAATTAGTCTCCAAGTCTACACAAGCCATGGGAAATAGAAGATCATTAAAATATGTGATTATACACAGACAAATGGACAAATGAAACAGTAATTAATATTGCTTGAGCTCAGACTACTCCTGTAAGATCTGCAGAAATCATATGACTGGGTAAGGTTTTATAGAACAATATTTCATCAGGAGATAATGGCAGTATCTCATTAGACTAAAAGGAGACGATAGATGCTGGAAGATCAGCTTTCATACAGCTCTTCTCTGTTCATAATAATACTGTGCGCCTTCTCCAAATGACAAAGAAGTAAATTCATACTCCATCAAAATAACCTCAAAACACTGAGCCATTTCAGGGCTTTAAAAATTGGTCAAGAATTGTTTGGCCCCCATAAAAAGACACTGCCACAAAACTTAGATGGCACATAGGTAGAATATGTTTTAGTATTCTGCAGGTAAAAAATAACATATGGTTAACTATAAATAAGAAATATATGTGCAAAATATGTATGTCCTTAACATTTGCTACTCAAAGGTAATTTCTAAAGTATCTAGAATGAGCTAAATTTTTTTTAATAAAAAAAGCCTTCCTTGAAGTGCCCACTTTTGGCATTCTAAATATTATCTCTCTCTCTCACATATACACACACTCTTCACTTCCTTTCTAATCATGGTGTATAGATGCAAGCAATATTGTTGGTTCTATGACAATACTTTTAAAACTACAAAAACAAGTTCTCTCACTCTAATAGATGATGCATTTGTTTGTTTTCCCCTTATGTGACTCATCTGTTAGAGTGAGAAGGTTTTTGTTTTTTTTTTAAATGCTGTGCTTCCAGCAATAAGGATAGTCAATGGCACAAAATAAGTGCTCAATGAATAATTAATGCACAGTGAATTCTCTTACCTTTGCTCTCCTATATCTTCTAAATGTCCCATGTATGATTTTTGTAATAAGAAGTAAAAATAATGTTATTTTTAGAAGTATCAGAATCCCAAAGTGACCAATATGGACCATTACATGATGAGTTCTAAAGGGTAAAGATGTCCTTATTTGTCATCACGTCCCCAGGACCTGCCCCCAAGTAGGTGACTAAACAGGTTTCATTATTAGATGAATAAATTAATTAAGGAATGATTGAATTATCATAAATAAAAAAGGGCAGGAGAGTATTGTATATGTAATTAGCTTATAAGGAATCTCATCCCTTTCTACCACATGACTTTCTTTTTAAATTATTTTTATATAGAAATATTTTAATGTACTTTGTATT